GCTGGTGCTGGGTACGGCTGTGCTGGTGCTGGGAACGGCTGTGCTGGTGCTGGGTACGGCTGTGCTGGTGCTGGGTACGGCTGTGCTGGTGCTGGGTACGGCTGTGCTGGTGCTGGGTACGGCTGTGCTGGTGCTGGGAACGGCTGTGCTGGTGCTGGGTACGGCTGTGCTGATTGATTTGCTGCTAGTTCGTGAAAAATATTGACTCATTTTCATTTGTTTCCTTCTTTGTGTCATGTCCTTGAGACAAATATCTTTCATCGTCCTTAGGTGTTGATAAAAGCCTGGTAGCTCTGGATTGTCAGTTTGTGAAACAATATCAAGGAGTTTTTCAACATAGAACAATGCGTCAGCACACGAAGCAGATTGTAAACTGCTATCATTCTCATCCTCATCTTCCTTTCCGTCGTCGTCAACAGTGCCAGTAACATTTTGTATAATCTCATCATCTGTTAAATGACCATTGATTAAATGATTTATTAATTTTATTATTTCGAAGCCGTAGTCACTGAACTGTGGCGACGAATTGAAACGAGAAACGCATGGTGTGTGTACAGGGATTAGACCCGTCCACTCGCTCACGCTGGAGTTGTTCCAATAACAAATAATTTCTCAAATTGCAGATGTCTATCATATTACAGTATATTTTCGGTTTTATTTAGTTTAGTTTAATTAGGATAATAAAAAGCTATTAAAGCATTGGTTTTAGAAATGATTTATTAGTCTGAAACTTTCAAAGTCATGGGTCACTGAACTATAACGACACAGACGAAGGAAAACCAAGTGAGGTTTACAGAACAGTATTCCCTTATCTGTCCACCCTCACTCACCTTGTTTTATCACAGAAAATGTCTATAAGGAGATTTTACGACATGTAGCTAGCTAATCACGCTTCAGCCTTTAAATTAATTTACAAAGATACGTCTGCCACAAATCAGTGGGAGGTTGGGAGGGAGGTGGGCAGGCAGATCTTGTGAGGGAGAGGCAGGGAGGGAGGGAGGCAGGCACGGAGGGAGGCAGGCACGGAGGGAGACAGGCACGGAGGGAGGCAGGCAGAGCTTGGGAGGGAGGCAGGGAAGGAGAGGATGGAGATGGATTGATGGTAGGATGGAGGGAGGGATGGAAGGATGGATGATTTGAGGGTGTGTGTGTGTGTATGGGCTGTAGGGGTGGGGGGGGGGGAGGTGTGTCGGTGGTGGTGAAGGGACCGACTCGACTCGGTGATAACCCTAACTCTGACCCAGTTAACTTTTTTTTTAACTTGATTTGTTTCTTCAATTCTGGATGGATGGAGGTAGAAAGGGGATGGAGAGAGGGGATGGATGGATGGATGGAGGGAGGGGATGGATGGAAGGAGGGGATGGATGGATGGATGGAGGGAGGAGATGGATGGATGGAGGGGATGGATGGATGGATGGATGGAGGGAGGGGATGGATGGATGGATGGAGGGAGGGGATGGATGGATGGATGGAGGGAGGGGATGGATGGATGGATGGAGGGAGGGGATGGATGGATGGATGGAGGGAGGGGATGGATGGAGGGAGGGGATGGATGGATGGATGGAGGGGATGGATGGATGGATGGAGGGAGGGGATGGATGGATGGATGGAGGGAGGAGATGGATGGATGGATGGATGGATGGATGGATGGATGGAGGGGATGGATGGATGGATGGATGGATGGAGGGGATGGATGGATGGATGGAGGGGATGGATGGATGGATGGATAGATGGAGGGAGGGGATGGATGGATGGATGGAGGGGATGGATGGATGGATGGATGGATGGATGGAGGGAGGGGATGGATGGAGGGGATGGATGGATGGATGGAGGGGATGGATGGATGGAGGGGATGGATGGATGGAGGGGATGGATGGATGGAGGATGGATGGATGGATGGATGGATGGGGATGGATGGATGGATGGATGGATGGATGGATGGATGGATAGAGGGAGGTGATGGATGGATTGATGGAGGGAGGGGATGGATGGATGGATGGATGGAGGGGATGGATGGATGGATGGATGGATGGATGGATGGATGGATGGTGGGAGGAAGGGGATGGATGGATGGAGGGGATGGATGGATGGATGGAGGAAGGGGATGGATGGATGGATGGAGGGGATGGATGGATGGATGGATGGATGGGAGGGATGGAGGGAGGGGATGGATGGATGGATGGAGGGAGGGGATGGATGGATGGAGGGGATGGATGGATGGATGGAGGGAGGGGATGGATGGATGGAGGGAGGGAGGGGATGGATGGATGGAGGGAGGGAGGGGATGGATGGATGGAGGGGATGGATGGATGGATGGATGGATGGATGGAGGGGATGGATGGATGGATGGATGGATGGATGGATGGATGGATGGATGGATGGGGGATGGATGGATGGAGGGGATGGATGGATGGATGGAGGGGATGGATGGATGGAGGGGATGGATGGATGGAGGGAGGGGATGGATGGATGGGATGGATGGATGGAGGGGATGGATGGATGGAGGGGATGGATGGATGGGAGGGGATGGATGGATGGAGGGGATGGATGGATGGATGGAGGGAGGGGGATGGATGGATGGAGGGAGGGGGATGGATGGATGGATGGAGGGGGATGGATGGAGGGAGGGGATGGATGGATGGAGAGAGAGAGAGGGAGGGAGGGGGAGAGAGGGAGGGCGGGATGAAACAAGCATGGTGTGTGTACAGGGATTAGACCCGTCCACTCACGCTGGAGTTGTCCAGATGTCCATAGACCAGATGTCTATCATGTTACAGCATATTTTCGGTTTTATTTAGTTTAGTTTAATTAGGATAATAAAAAGCTATTAAAACACTGGTTTTAGAAATTATTTATTAATATGAAACTTTCAAAAGTCATGGGTCACTGAACTATGACGACACACAGACGAAAGTGAGTGAAACCTCACTGTAAAGTGAGGTTTACAGTATAGTATTCTCTTATCTGTCCACCCTCACTCATCTTGTTTCATCACAGAAAATGTCTATAAGTTGATTTTACCACATGTAGCTAGGTAATCACGCTTCATCCTTTAAATTAATGTACAAAGATACGTGTGCCCCAAATCAGTGAACGAAAATCATGGAAACTCAGTTGTTCACTTGTGTGGATCACTGGCTGGTGTTTGTGTGGACCATTTTGGCTGGTGTTTGTGTGGACCATTTTGGCTGGTGTTTGGTTCATATGGTTCACTTGTGTGATCCAACTTCTTATGAAGGAATTATTAATTGTAATCTGTGATAGAATGAGAACGTTTTCCACCACTCTGTGAACTCTGTCCCAAAATCGTAAGCTTGTGGACCACTTGTGGTCCACATGTGTGGTCCATTTGTGTGGTCCACTTGTGTGATCCACTTGTGTGATCCAACTTGTCATATGAGAGAATTATTAATTGTAATCTGTTATAGAATGGGAAAGTTTTCCACCAGTCTGTGAACTCTGTCTGGACATTGTAAGCAAATCCGAACATCCCTCGCTTCGGCGAACCATTGTTCGTCGAACCGGGTGAGTAAATTCGGCCTGAAAAGTGTGCGAACTAGCCGGAGATTCGTTGAATCGGGGTACGTTGAATCGAGGTTGTACTGTATCAGTAATCTGTCAGGCCAGAGGTGCTTCATATTTTGTGTCTGGTTGCGGCTTTACGCTATTACCTGGGCGCCTCGGCTTCTGTGTCCGGGGACACACTTTGGGTTGACCTGGATTCTCTTGTTCCCTGTTCCAGAGCTCAGGGTCTCACAGGTTGTCCACAAGCCAGTCTGCGATCTACCTTCGCGCCCATGATGTTCGTAAGTTTGCAGCTTTGGTTGCTGTGTTCGGCAATATGCCTTGGGCAAATATTCGGGCACGGGGTGTTTAGGAGATCGAACAGGGTCTCCGGGTTGCCCGTTAACTCGTGCATTAATTTCTTTTTTGGGTAATTAGCTCCTGGGAGCCAACAGGGCTCCCCCACAGAAAACCAGCATAGACTGTAATGAAATGCCATTTTCTGGATAGAGCCCCAGAGGCTCCCTGGCTACCTTATCCTGGTTGGCGGGTTTTGGTTTCGTTTTTCAGCCTCTAAACTGACGATACGGCTGTTCTTCATGCCACAAACGAACGGCACGTAGTGTAATGAAGTGTTGCTTGTTAGCTTATTTTTCTTTAGGCGAGTTTCTAGCCTCTGTTCGGTCTTAGGTTGCAATATTTCTACCATGAGGGGTCTGTTCTGAAGTGCCTACCTTTCTGGGTGCTCAACCCCGATCGATGGCAGACATGAATACTTTTATACATAAGTGTTTCATAGGCCACTGCTCCCTTTACTTCTCTGAGGGACCATGTTCTCACTAGTGGTCCCTGGTATGCATGACAACTGAATAAGACTGAAGCCCAGTTACTAATATTAGCTAATATTTGTCCAATAGCTCCAGGCAGGTTATCTTGAGAATATCTTGAGAAGATTTCGGGTCTTTAGTGTCCCCGCGGCCCGGTCCTCGACCAGGCCTCCACCCCCAGGAAGCAGCCCGTGACAGTTGACTAACACCCAGGTACCTATTTTACTGCTAGGTAACAGGGGCATAGGATGAAAGAAACTTTGCCCATTGTTTCTCGCTGGCGCCTGGGATCGAACCCAGGACCACAGGATCACAAGTCCAGCGTGCTGTCCGCTCGGCCGACCGGCTCCCATGGCCGGAAGACTCCCCGACCGGGAGCCTTCGGAGTTCTACCCAGAAAATGGCATTTCATTACATTCAACACTTTTTTTTTTTTTTTTTTTTAGCTTTTTGTTGTATATAGATGAATGAAATTTGTCTTGTGGAAATGATAGTGCCACAGTGAAAGTTTAAAGTATCTATGAGTTCTTGTAACTTTTATCCAAATTCTTTTATATATCGTGGCTCTCATTACTGTGGATACATACTGAAGTTCACTGACTGACAGCAATTAGAATGAACTTGCGTGCAGTGTGTTAAATATATGCATGTCTTTATGGGTGTCTGCAGGGCCTGTTAATAATCCGGAAGATGCAGCAGGGAAGTGGGGAGACTACCGCAACTGTGACGCCCCAGAGTGGCTCCTGCATGCACTGTATCAGCATATCAACACCACATACCCGGTATATCACATTTTATTTTCCTCTATGCCAACATCATCGTTTAGTCTAACTTCTTGACTATAATTGCCTTATATCAAATATACCTATGCTTCTGTTCATACTATGCATCTCAGCACTCTGCATCCATTAGAGACATAATTTCCATCCTTATAGCATGTTGCATAAATACTCTGTAGTCATTACAGTTAATTAATGACATGTTATTCTTATTTGATAATACAATGTGGCAAGGTTTGCTGTATAGTACAGTATTTACAATTGTAATCATTAAAGTGGTGATTGTCATAGACTTTTGATAGAGGTTTAATTCAGGGTTTATGCCTGAAGGCATTCAGAAACTAATAGAAGGGAGAAAGATAACTTAACACAAAACAAAACAAAAATACTTGACTTACAAATACAGTGGTACCTCGGTTTACGAACGCCCCTGTTTACGAACTTTTCGGATTATGAGCCCGATTTGTTCAGAAAATTTGAATCGGACACGAACTTTACATTGGGATACGAGTTTGTTGATCGGCGTACTGCCGACGTAGCGTGTGGTGGCACGGCGATCATGCATCAGTTTACCAGTGCCTCTCGCCCAGTGACTATCCTGCCTGAATTCTTCGCAAGGATTTACTGTTTCTTTTCGGATTTTTTGCTATTTGAGCATAATTTTTTTTATTATATATCTCCCCATGGGTCCCAAGAAAGTCAGTGGTAAGGTTCAAGGCAAGAAATCACATGTGAGAAGGACCATAGAGGAAAAACGAGATCATTCGTAAGCATGAAAATGGTACTCGTGTTGTTGAACTAGCTAGGCAGTACAACAAATCCATGTCAACGATATGCACTGTACTTACCAAGAAAAAGGATATTTTGAGTGCTAAAGTGGCAAAGGGCGTATCAACAATCACGAAGCAAAGAACACAAATACTTGAGGATGTGGAAAAGTTGTTATAAATTTGGATACACAACAAGGAGTTAGCAGGTGATAGCGTTTCAGAGGTCATCATTTGTGAGAAAGCCAGGGTATTGCACGAAGATATTGTAAAGAAAACTCCTGGAACGAGTGCAGATACGAAAGACTTTAAGGCAAGCAGGGGATGGTTTGACAAATTTAAAAAAGGAGTGTTATTTATAGTACTGTACTGTGAGGTGTGGGGAGGCTGCCAGCTCAAGCAAACCAGCGGCTGAAAGATTCATTGAATAATTTAAAGATTTTGTAGAGGCTGAGGGATATACCGCAACAAGTGTTTGTGATGAGACAAGACTGTTCTGGAAAAGATTGCCTAAGAGGACATACATTACCAAGGAGGAGAAATCTTTGCCCGGACACAAGCCTATGAAAGATAGGTTTGCGCTTGTGCTGAGTGGCATCTTGAAAATTAAACCCTTGCTTGTGTATCATTCTGAAAATCCAAGGGTTTTCAAAAAGTATGGTGTGCAGAAAAACCGAATGTGTGTGATGTGGAGGGCTAATAATAAGGCATGGGTGACTAGGATTTTCTGTGGGGAGCCCCTACGGCTCCCTGGAGCTTATCGGGCTAATGTATGTTATATTAGACCGGGACATTAGCTATGAAGTTCAGACCTACCAAAGACCAGCACCAGAACCTGGCCCCTTCAGAGAGGTTTCCGGGTGAAATGGCCCTGGAAAACTTTCTTGCGGTTTGGCGTTTTCCTTATCTGCCACTGACCAGGGTTAGGCATCCAGAAAGGTAGGCATAACAAAACAAACTCCACATGGTAAGAAACTAAAACAAAAAACAGAACAGAGGTAAAAACTCCCTACAATCCCAAGGAAACAAGCAAACAAGCAATTATCACATTTTACTGCTGCGTATCTCATCTGCGCAGCCCTCCCCTCCCCGAGAGGGGGGCCCCGGACCTCACCGTGCTGGCTGCCTTCAGTTCGTAAGCTAGTGTCAACCGGAACAGAAGCTTCTCTGGCCTCAAATTCCTGGGCGGTGTTTGCCTTGTGTGGCGTTCTCTGCTGTCTTTCTGTGGTGGCCAGGAATACTTCATCAGTGCAGTGGCTGCTTGCACTTAGGGGCTTCTTTCCCTAAGCGCCCTGTGAGTACTGCCCCTGCGTGTCAGAGTTATCTTCCCTGGGGCATTCAGGAACTGCTCCTGTAGGAGTTCTTGCTGCTCTGCATTTGCCTCGCCCTTGGGGCCAGCTGGGGCTTGAGGCCCTTGTTTGGCCTTGGGTAGGGAGTGGTGTTGTACTGGTTAGGGCGTCAAGGTGTTGCGCGGCCTGCCACTTAAGCAGCAACCGGTTCCTGTTGCCTCTGGCGACAGTGTACTTTTGCGGGGTTTTTCTTTTGTTTTGTTTTTGTTTGCCTGGTGGGGGTTCTACCTATTTTTTTTTTTTTTTTTTTTTTTGAGATATATACAAGAGTTGTTACATTCTTGTACAGCCACTAGTATGCGTAGCTATAGTTCCCTATACTATTCCCTATAGTTCCCCTGATACTGTTTTGGTGGTCCTCTGCTAGGCCCCCGTGCTTGTACACGTCCCACGGGTTTTCAGTGTTATCGTATACCCCTTGTTAGTTTGGATTTTTTAACTGGTTAGCAACAACTCCTTGCCCGGGCTTCTCGTAGTTGTTACCCTATGGGCCCTGGAAACCCCTGTCGGGACTTGGTGGACCCATGGATGCATTTCTCGAGTTCCAGCCTGCCTTGTGCGGGTTTGAAGGTAGCTGTGATCTATCTCAGGGTGAGTCACCTGTTTTGCTTCCGTCATGCTGCCTGTTGGGTTGACGACACCTTTGACCCGGAGTCTTGCGAGTCATGTTTTCTGCTTGTGCTCCAGTTTTATTTTGATGTTGTTGTTGGGGCACAGGCAGCATCCGCATTGCATGTTAGGTTTAGGTTACTGCAACGCGCTAGGTTGGTTTCCCACCTGGATGCCCCGAGGCTGCCTCGTTTTGGTTTTCGGGACCCGGACCTGGGGGTGTTGGTCGCTTCGACTTTGGCTCCTTCCGCGCTCCCTGGTCCTAACCCTGTGGTTCATCCTACACCTTCCCTCCCCCCCCTCATGTGTCCAGCTTCCAAACATCTGAGGGTTTCGGATTCGGCACAGGGTTTAGTTGGTATTGAGACTCGGGCGGCTTCGGGGGCTACCCCCATTCGGGTTGGAGACAGAGGCATTTGAGCCGGTTCCTCCTGCTGAGGTTTCTGGTTCCCACGAGCAGGTCCCCTTCTTGTCTGCCTTTCCCCTGGACTATACCTTTTCTTCAGGGGTAGAGAGTTTGGAGGCCGGCTCTGCCCCGGGTCCCGATGTGGGGGATCTTGGGGCTGGGGAGGTGTTGACCTGGGGGCCTTGGGCTTCCTTTAACTCCGCTTGGGTGTTTTTGCCTTCCTCGTGGGGGCTTATTGCTGCAGGGGGAGGGGGTTTTCTTGACCACCTTCCCTGTATGAGTATGATTTAGGTTCGGCTCCTCCTCGAGTTTTGTTCCGGGCTCCTTTGGGTACCTCGGCTCCGTCATTCCAGAGGTTTTCTACTTCGCGTATCTCCCGAAGGAGGCTCAGGAGACTCTTGCTGCTTACCTCTTGCGAGACCCTATTTATGGCTCTGTGATGGATTCGTCCTCTTTTGAATTCGACTCTTCTTCCTGCTTTTGGGTGCTTTTGGAGGTTCCAGAATCTTTCCAGCTAGCAAACTGCCCATTATTTTCGTTGGGGCGTGGCATGGGTTCCGTTGGACCCGCATGCTTGATTGGCATGAAACATCTACAGTTCTGCAGGTTTACCTGGGGGAGGGGGGGGGCGGGAGTTTGAGCACCTTAATGCGTGCTTGTTTGCCCCGTGCTTTCTCGGGATGTTGGCCTTTTCCAGCTTCACATGCAGGTTCCTCTTCTTTTGGCATCTTTGGTTGCGGAGGATTTGCGCGCCCGTGGGCATTTGGCTTCGGTCTTGCGTTTCTTTTTCCTTCTCGAGCTGTCTTCTGCCTGGCTTGAAGAGGATGTGGAGGTGTTGAGTGACGGGCCTTCGTCTGGAGCGCTGACTTTGGCAGCTAGGGCGTCAGCTGCACTGTTGAAGCTCTTAGCGTCCATCCTGAAGGAGGCAGTGTCTGTTTTTTGCTTCACGCCTTGCGTGCCGTCAGGTTGTCCTCGCTCTCTCCTTGGAATCCGCTTGGGCCCTGGCTCTTAGGTTTTTGTCTCCGTTTTGTCCGTTGCTGTTTGCAGAGGCTGCGGTCTTGCAGTTTCTGCAAGCGGCTTCGTCTAGTTGTCGTCCTATGTCGAACTAGTTGATTCTCTGGGGCGGTCATTCTCGGTCGTCTCGGAGGGGTAGTACCAGGGTTCTGGGTTCCGCTGGTCGAGGTGGGCCATTGGTGCCAGTTTTCGAGCCGTCGTTACCTTCGCTGCCGGCGTCGTCTGGTCAGTGCGGTGATCTCGCCCCCCAGAGGTACACGAAAATGAAGGCAATATTGAGGAGCAAACTGGTAATAGGAATAAGGAGAGAGAAACAATGAGAAGGACGAGAACACAAATGAGAAAGACGAAAGCAACAAGGTGAAAGTTAAGGGCTATACCAAGAATGAATGCGGAAACAAGAAAGTTGGAACAAAAAACACAAAGGTAGCCAAGTCGTGCACAGGGAACAAACAATAAGAATACAAGCACAGATGAAAATGTGTGCAGGTATTATGCAAAAGGACAGTGCAGATATGGGACCAGAGGCACGGAATGCACTTTCATGCACCCACAGAAATGCCGAAACATGTTAGGGAAAGGCAGCTGTTGTTTTGGAATAGATTGTAGATATTTCCACCCTAAGTTATGCAAACTCTCAGTGAATGAGAGGAAATGCTATGATCTCCATTGCCCTGATTTCTACGTGAGAGGTACACAGCGCTATATGAGAGAGGAAGTTCAATATAATAGCCCGGGAAATTTTTTAGAGGCAAGCAGAACCAGAGGGAGGAACAGACAGGCAGAAACGTTGCAGGAGTACGGATTGGGAGGGGAAAATGCCCACAACTGGACTACGTTTTGTCATAAAGCCCACAC